AGATCTAAAACCTGGGAAAGAAGATTCCATCATCAGCTCAGCTTGTGAAGGAGCATCACATTGCAAGCATGAAAGCAGATGAACTGGACAGCAGTGAAGGTTTCTCCCAGGTTAGAACTTTTCAAAGGGCCTGCACATGTCAGGTGCCCATATCCTGACTTTTGATGGGAGCTAGATACCATATTCTTGAAGGGTTCTGGAAAATGCCAGCCTCTGTAAATAAACAGATTCACAATTGTGTTGGCAAATGGAGCAGGGCTGAGAACGCTGGTTATGAAAGTCTCTTTATACCCACTGAACAGGTAAAGTAATAGCAGTGCAATATTATCTATCCAACCCATCACTATGCTTCCATTAGGATATGGAAGGTTGACCACTGCAGGACAGAAGAGAATCCATCCCCATGGCCTCTTTAGTCAAAACTGACTACAAGCTGAGGGAGGCAAATGGCAAGAAGGACAATTAATTCCTGGGGCCTGTTCTCATTTCACCTAAATTATTCACAAGCCACCAGACGGTAAAGACTTCTTACCACTAAAGTGAAAGTGAACTTGTAACCTCATTGAGAAAGGGTTTACACTGCCAATCTCCAGTTTCAAAAGTCAGTGAAACAGGAGAGTGTGTCTTGGATGACTGCATTTTAACACAGAACGTGTGCAGAACAAAGAGTGTGGACTCCTTGCTGCAGGGTCACAGGTTACCTTCACAGTTATGAGACTCTGAATGCTGCAAGACTTTGGAACCAGAGATGTTAGGTTATTTGTATGAACAATCAGCACCTGAGGAGAAAAAGTGATTGGCGTAAGGTCACAGAATACATCACAGGTTCAAACACGCACATTCTTTTGGATTTAATTTTGTTCTCTAGAAAGGGTTCAAACCTGATTAAATTAAATATTAAATAATAATTTAGGGGAGGCGGGATTCAGTACTATGACTGGATTGAAATAAGGGATTTGGATAATTTTTTTCTACCAATAATCACATGTGGTTATGCAGACTAAGAATGAATGTATCATATCTCATGCATCGTGGACTAAGTTGATTCCTGAAGGTGTACAAGAAGGATTCTTGCATGTCCCTCAATATACAATATTGCACAATTGGACACATTCGTTATGAGACAGAGATTTCACAGTTCTTGGAAGCGTTCATATGTAGGCACTTCAAATGCTATCGTAATATTTTAAGTAATAATACAGTTACCTTTTTCTGCAAGACCTTACATGTTGCAAAAGCCCCATAAGGAATCTAAAAATGAAATACAAAAATAGCTCAGTACATAATAAAAATATTAATACACATTGCAACATGGTATTATCTTTCAAAACCACGTATCAATAGAGCTGAACAATCGACTCTTATTCAAAACCCAAATGGCTGGCCTCTGGCATTAGTCAGTAGTTGGTCCTAGGTACCAGCACCTCACTGCACTGCTCTGAATCTCAAACAATTTACAATGATTCTCAGTAGAATTATAGAGACTTCAGGGTAATGGAGAACAGACTGTGAAGCCTGGGCAGAAGTCCAGGCCTTCAATACTTTAATGTCCAGTGTGCTGATGTCCTGGAAGCCAACGTACATTTTAAATGAATCATTATGCAGAACAGCATAATAATATTTTGTCATAATCCTGGTACACACTCTGTAGGGGACTGAGTGGGAAAGGGAAGAACCTAGTTTTTATGTAAGTTGGCACCTGTATACAGGAGATAAGCAGAAAGGTGATGTCACAGCGGAGTTCTAGCCTATACCAATCCAGAGCTCATAACTGCAACATGGTACTGTGTGAAAAAGGACAGCTTTTATTTTGACTTTGTCTTGTTGTGCTTAATAGAGAAGCGAATTAACTAAACTCATCCAATTAATGAAGGAGTCAACTAATGTTGCAAGTCACATAAGGAACGCACCTCTGGGAGTTCACACTTTGATATATCAAGAATGTCATCAGCACCAGCTTCTTTTGCCTAGAAAGAGATAGAGAGGGGAAAAAAAGAGAGAAAAGTGGGTCTGCATTGTTAAAATAATAAAATACACAAACAGTCTTGTTCTTGTTGGCTTAACTGCCCTGCTGACCTCTCCTTAGAAAATATAAATCACAGCTGTCTGCTATAGCTCCGCAAGCCATGGAAAACATAAGCAGTAAAGTTATTCCATAGTCATAAGTCCAGCATAGGTCATGCAATCAAGAACAAACATGCCAAAATAAAAACATTGTGTTCCTAAGTGAAGTTCTGCATTAAGAACAGGTTCCTCTTAATTAACAGAAAATATAGAGATGATTGGTTCTCTAGAATTTGAGAGAGGTGTCATGCACAATGCAGAGTGGTGCTCTACAGGGGCGACTGTACAAATACCATCTCTTACTCAACAGATCTACTTCCTTTCTGCATTCAGAATTAGATCTGCTGCCTATAGGAACAAAAATCATTGAGTTTGTTTTACTCCCATTAGTCCTCTAAAACCAGCACAGATAAAAGCTGAGATTCACTCCCTTCTCAAATAAAACATTTTACAGTGTTCCAGCCTGCAGTAGCTGTAAAATACTTGCTATACCTAGATGTGATGAGGTTACTCTGTCACTGGGAATATAACTTGGTGTGGTAAGGTTCCTGTCAGGGGACAGAGTGGAAAGAGCATAGCTAATCTTGGTGCCTAGGGTGACTCTGCACAGCTGGTAAATAGGAAGGAAGTTAATACATTATAAAGAGACTTTTAATTTAACAAGGTAATATTACGCAGCACCGTTTCACTGACATTCAATATAGCCATAACAACTCACCCCCTGCAATTCTGGCTAAACTGCAATGCAGGTAGATGCTTCAACTGTGATTTATGATTGGCTTCCCACACAACTGGATGGCATTTCTCTGGTTGGATGCAACAGGTTAACTTTAAATGCTGCATCCAATTAATTCCAAAATTTTAGGAAATATTCTATAAATCAATGGGCAGAACTATATTGATCTAGGGAGAAAATGGGAAAGCCACAAGGGGGAAAATGGTGGACAGGGGGATTCCCAGTTTTAGCTTCAAGCCCCTCTGTTATCAAATAATTAGTTGATGACAACAGCTAACACCATTCAGCATAACAATAACCTCATGTCATCTCTGCTTATCCATCCAGTACAGTTTAACATGCTGACACCTTCAATGACATCTTCCAGACAGAAAGATGGAAAAGAAGTAAAAATGGTGGAGGAAGGAGCAACACAGTAAGAAACCCTGGTTTTGGGGGCAAGAGGGAAATGAAGGCATGCACAGAACCCTGGGTAAGGAAGGAGCTTGGGGATTCTACCTTAAGGGGAGGAGGAGGGATGAGGAGGGAATGAGGTAGAAAATGTTAGCATACAAGGAGCTTGGGGTACATGGAAGAATGCAAGGAAGTTGACTTTTAGGTGCAATGATGTGTGTGGCTCCCTAGTCATCATTCCTACTACAATCATTCCTACTACATCAAACCCTAGCAATGAAAATGCTATTAGATCTTGTTACTAGAAGCATTTTTATTCAAAAGATTGGCTCTAGAAGAGAAAAAAAAAAAGCATGGCTGCCAAGCTTACCAGGCACATTTGGTATTCAAGGCGCTTCCGGGCATCATCACTAGGCTTCTTTTTACGGAAGAAGAGTGGCATCTTTCACTTTTCACTGCAGCTCCGTCTCAGTAGCAGAAAGCGATCAGTGTAAACCAAGGCAGGGGGGGTATGGAACAGGCATTTGACTGGGAGCCTAGACTGCGAGAAAAGCACTAGAGCAAGTAGAGAGGAGAAAATCATTGTTGCTGCAGTCATCTTTATTTAGGCCTCAGTTCTGCAAGACGAGCCATGCAGACCTGCTCTGGCACCCACAAACAGCCTCACTGCAGAAGTGCTAAAGCCACTGTTCAAGGCATTAGTGACACCTATCTGGAATATTGCATAGCCTTTTGATCACCTCATGTTTAAGAGAAAGGAAACTAGAACAAGGTCAAAGGAGGACAATCAGGAGAATGGAGAGGAAACTAAGAGAGCTTGACTTGTCTAGCCTCTCAACACAAAAAAAGGAAGGGAGGGGATATGACTGCTGCCTCAAAACAAATAAGGGAGGTAAACCAAAAAGGAAAGAGGATTATTTAAGTTGGAACAAAATGTTGGCACAAGAACAAGTAGGTATAAACCCACCATGAATAAAGTTAGATTGGAATTTAGAAGGCTTCAACCGCCAGAGTGAGGCTGTAGATGAGCCTTCCAGTAAGAGGCAAGAGACCTGGTGAGTCTTAAACTGGAGCTGAATAGAGCATGTGAACGTGGATGTATGATACAACTGCCTGTGCTAGACTTCATGATACAGGACATCCACTCCAGTTCTTGTTTTATGTTCCGATGAAGGAAGTAGGACTCCATGCAAACACAGGAAATTTATTCTGCCCCTTGACACTGTCTCTGCTAGTACAAGGGGTTATTTTAAACTTTTAAATACAATTTTTGCCTTGTGCCCAAAACCCCTGTTTACACATTTGCTTTTCAGACAAAATCTAAGTTGATTTTATCTCCCCACTATTAATTACTCAGTGCATGGAGATATTTTGCTTCAGTTGCTTGCAGTTTAAAGCCCATTCTCAGTTAATGGTCTAAAAGAAAGTATAACTTAGGTTTTCAATCATTTAATAATGGATATTACCAGCAAACTGAACCACAAGAACCCACATCTACTGAAACTGACTGCTGCTGCTGCCTTAGTCATACACTACTACAAGAAGCTACAGCAGGGGCGGGCAATTATTTTGGGCGGATGGCCACTTACTGAGTTTTGGCAAGCCATTGAGGGCCACGTGACAGGCAGCCAGGGGCAGATAAACATTCATTTTCTTAATTTTGGGGGGGCCCCGCGGGCCAGATAGAATGGCCTGGCAGGCCACATCTGGACCCTGAGCTGCATTTTGTCCAGCCCTGAGTTACAGGGACTGAAGCCTTGTCCACAGTACAAAGTCCTGCTGGCATAAATACATCAGCTGGGAGCATGAAGAGATTACACCCCATACCCAATGCAACTCTGCTGCCAAAACTCCTGGTATGGCTGCAGCTCAGCCAGCAGTAGGAAGATTTTGGCTATTCAGAGAAGCTGATGTAACTCTGATAGCAGAAAAACTCCTTCTGTCAGCACAGCTTTGTCTGCATCTCATAGTTAAAGCAGCAGCCTTGTAGAGAGACTAAACCTAAATGTCAAACTGCAGCTCCCTGCAAAAAAGGCCTCTAAGCTCAAGATGGAGCATTTTGTGCAGATTTTTCAGAATATATTGCCATTATAAATACAAGGATGACCTTGTTTCAGTGATTTATAGACACTATGAGACACATCTGGTATTCCTGTCTTAAATATTAATCATAAAAGCAATAGTGCATTCATGCAACAATAGCAAAGGGATGGAGAGAGATGTTAGTACCTTAGAACCACCCCAAACCTTGGAAATGAGACCTGAACTCACTACAGTATTATAATTTGCTATTGCACTTTGAACGTTACCAGCATTTGAGACACAGTACGTTATTTCCAAGACATTCTGGGATACAAAACAGCTAAGTCTAAACAAATACTCTCAGATGAGCTACGAATGGGAGTACATATTAGAGATGCAGTGTTATTATCAATGTGTATAGCATTTATTGTCCTAACTAGCCAACTGCCCATCAAGAATGACGGGGGAGAGGCGGCAGCAGGCAGGGACAGAGCCCTGGCCACCCCCGGGCCCCCTTGCAGCGGCAAGAGAAAGGGAGGAGTGGGCGTGGGGCCGAGCCCGATGCAGGTGAGGACTGGGCCTAAGGGTGGGGAGATGCCAGGCCACCGTGGCAGTGCGGGGGCAGCAGTGGGCCCAGGCTGATGCAGGGCAGCAGGGGTGGGGGAGGAGTGGGCCCAGGCCTGATGGGGGCAGGAGGCTCACTCCTCCCCTCCCCCCGCAGCTGCTGTGTTGGGCTGGGCTGGGCTGGGCCCAGCCAGGCCCACTCCCCCCAACCCCGCCGCGGGGGGGCTCGGCCTCAGTCAATCTGTTTGTCAGCCAATCAGAGCGTGAACAAAGCGTTACAGACAGACAGACAGGCGTAGACTTTTATATTACAACAATGGGATCATCAGGGACCCACCCACATTATAAAGATATGAAAGAACAAACTAGTTATTAAATAAAATGCATTAAATATGAGGAGGCTTTAATTCTTTCAACATCACCTTAAAATTGTACAACCCAGAAGAAACAAGGACAAAGACAGCACAAAATGTAGTTAGCCAGTGCAATGATCTGGCCATCTGTGTGGCCCCTTACAGCTTTATGGCATGTAACACTAGATGGAAATTTACACACACCCACAACCCAGTGGCACTGCATCAATATAAAGGTTTACTGGCAGATGTTTGTTGCAACTGGACTCACAATCAGAAGTCATTGAGAAGTGCATGCCTGTTACACCACTGCATCTTATCCTAAACACATCACATGTTTCGAAAAGGTTTGTAAAACTTTTGGCTTCAAAATTGGTAAAATTTTCATCTCATTCCACCTTCAAAGCCAAGCTCTCCTAAATAACAGGGACCAACTGTATATGGCTGTAGCAGAGGAGGAATGTTAAAAATACTACATTTTAAAGACCTCTAAAACATTAACAGTACTTTTCTTTACATAACAATATGGGAATTTCAGTCTGCTATCACAGTCTTCCTTGGGGTACAAATATCCTAAGGGAAAGCATCTAATTTTGCCTTTTCAATGGTATGAAGCACCTGTTTCTATCCCCACTCAGATGTAATATGTTGGCTCTTAAATATGCCAGTGGGCCAAGACAAAAAAAGTTTGCTCACCCTGCACTTCACTGCAGCACACTATGGAAGGAGAAATTCCAAAGGTTGTCTAGCAAGTTGTTTTTTATTTTTAATGGCACTCAGACACTACTCAGTTGCTAAGTGATTCACCCAACAGATGCGAGTTATGGGCACACCATTCATGACTCAAGTGTGTGACAAATTGAATGCATCACATGCATATTAATTTTTAATACATGCTATGTACCTGCATGAATGGAAGATATATAATCATTTTATTATAGACAGGGCTGATAGTGCCATCTCCTATTAAAGCTTCCTGACACTTCCTATTGTAACCCTATGCTCTTTGGCTGCTTATAAGTTTGGCAAACTTTAAGCATACAGGCTGAAATATTTAATTCCGGGTGCTTTAGTCTGACCATTTGTGTCATCCAAAATAGTTCAGCCATTTGGGAGAAGGAGGTTAAAAAAAATAAGTTGTTTATTATCAAATGTTGGTGACCCTTTTCTTTTAAATGCTCTAAGATCTGCTTGGTTTGGAATAGGGACTTGAAATCTCATAGGGACTGGCTTCCAGGCTAGTGCTGTGAAAATCCACCCAAATTTGGCCAAGCTACAGGCCTTTGAAAAAAACAGAACAAAACCCCAAACCCTGAAAACTCTGTAGTCTGTGTATACTGAACAGCCTCCAGCCTCTCCCAACTCCTAGATCTCCTTTGTAGGTCCAACACATGACCACACAGTACATATTCCATTCCCACAGGGTGAAGGAACACACTCCACCCAGGACTACCCCAGAGCCATGCCAGACTTGCCCTGTAGTAGCTACTATGGGCACTAGTGGAACAAGGTACAAGATACTGGAGTGAGGAGCTTGTCTCCTTTGTCCCTTCAATAATTTCCCTGCTGGCACTCAATAATCTCCCTGCTGGCACCCAGGCAGAGTGGAGTAGGAAGCTGCTTGAACTAAATGAAGATGGAAAAATAAAAGCGGGACCAGGAAGAAAGTAAATGGACTGGGGTAGGGAGTCTGGTGAGAGTGGGACTGGAGTTGGGTGGAAAGAGACTGGAACCTCTGTGGAGGACAGATTACAGACAGTACAAGGATCTAGAGGCAGAGAAGAAGACTGACTGCGATTAACTAGTCAAGATGTCAGTGCCTAGAAACTAGTTCAAGATGGGTATAGGAAGAGAACTGGGACTGGCTGGGCAAAGGGACCAAAGCAGGAAGACAGCAGAGGCAAATTGAGCTTAGACGAGGAAGAGTAGCTAAGAGCCGTTGTGCACAAGAGAGAAAAATAGCAATGATATCATTTAAGACTGTATAATTAATATGCACAAGCCTGAATCAAGGTTGTTGTTGCATGTGTCATTTTAAAGACATCATTTAAGTCCCAGAACTATCCACTTATAAATTGCACAGCCATGGGATAAAATCCATTTATCGTGCACCTAAGTTCATGTGCTGTAGGCATGCAAAGGAAGATCATTACTGCCAGCTCAATGCTAGATGCATACAAATGTGTCACTACATTTTGAAACATGTCTATAACCACTAGGTAAAATCATTCATATTTAAATGTACAACTACCCCGCATGTATGGAAATCCATTCCAAGGGAAGAAAGGGGTCCTTTCACAATGGCTTATCCACACCAAGGCATTTATACTAAAGTACAATCCTCTGATTGAAAAATTTTGATGTCATCTCTTCAGTGTAAATGCATTCAAATGGACACTATTAAAAGTCACTGCTTGTACACATAGGAAGCACGTGGTCAGTGTTTTGGAGGTGCGTCCCACGCGCATTTGCAAAGCTCTCACAACCCAGCCACTGTCCTCATGGTACGTGGCAGAAGGCAGCTTTGGGGTTCAAACTCCAGGGGTATGTCTATATATTCTTTAACAGCACATTCAAGGGAGTTGCTGAGAAATATGTTGTGCCTCCTACCCCACATGTACCAAGTAGAAACGAGCTGGTGAGGATGTCCGCTGGGGTGCCCTCTACTGCCACTCTTGAGATCTCTTGTCTCCAGCAAGCATGAGAGTGATGGCAAAGGGTGCTGCCAGAGCATCTTTACTGCCTTATTTCCAGATCTGGTGCATGTAAACATGCAGGAACGCATGGGCAGGATGTACTTCTCAGTGGCACTCTCAAGAATCCCATGGAAGTGGTACAGATATATGCTAAAAGTCCCATGAGGCTTCCCTCTCTTCCCTATGAGACCGGGCTCTCTTCAAGTGGACAGCACCTTTTTCAAACTCCTAAAAGACTGTCATACATGAGACATCTCTGCATGCCATGCTGCCATAGGTCAGAAACATGCTGCAGTTTGCTTGGATGTCACCCAGAGCCCCACAGCTTTGCAAGTCACCCACCAATCTACCAAACATGAAATAGCTCGAGCAACAGCAGTTACAGCTTCCTCCTTCCTGCCTCCATTGCGACCTAGAGAACAGTAAGAACATAGATGAGAACATGGAGGATGACAGCAAGAAGAGATGCTACATCAGGAGGTACTTTTCTTGAAACTGCTTCACTCTGTGTAGTGACACCTCTGGGCTCAAGAATCCAGGGGCAGAAGGAGGATTGTGCTGCAGGGATGTCCTGTGAGACGGACCTGTGGGGTCGAGCTACGCCTCATGTCACTTGTGCTGTTTGGACTGACTCCTGGCTCCTGCAATGTTCGCCTCTTCTCCCCAGGGTGAGAAGGTCCATGACTTCCGTAGAGATCCAACTGGAAAGGTGAGAAGTTGCCATGGCATGGGGGTCACAAAGCCTGCAGAGGAGCTACTTCATGCATGACTGTACAACTTCCAAATGGCTGAGACATAACCATAAAAACTGCCAGTGTCCGCACTTGCGAGGTGCGGCATAGCAACCAAGGGCACTAACAAGTCACGGACTAGTTAAAGTCGAGCAAACAGCTGCAAGTTTCGTCAAAGTAGAAACCTGGCCAAGGACAGCGAGATGTTCAGAAACAGAAAAAGGGTGAAATCGATCTGCTGGTCTGGGGGTGTTTATGCTGACCGGGTTTTAGAAAAAGACGCAACCGTGAACAACTGTGCTGTCGCCGACCTCGCTGGCCATGTGCTCAAGGGAAGTCCACCCACCCCCTTCCAAACACGAACTTGGGAATAAAACTTTGTGAGTCGGCTGGACCAAGTTGTGGGGTGAGGTGGGCATGCTGGAGGGGAGGGACAGAATCCAGCTAGATCTAGACAAATTACAGAGGTGGGCGGATGAGAATAGGATGGAATTCAATGCAGACAAGTGCAAGGTGCTGCATCTAGGGAGAAGAAACCAGCAACACACCTATAGGCTGGGGAACACCCTTCCTGTCAACGCGGTGGCAGAAAGGGATCTTGGAGTCATAGTTGACTCCAGGATGGACATGAGCAGCCAATGCAAGGAAGCAGTCAGGAAGGCTAACCGCACCTTGTCGTGCATCTACAGATGCATCACAAGCAGGTCCAGGGAGGTGATCCTTCCCCTCTATGCTGCGCTGGTCAGGCTGCAGTTGGAGTACTGCGTCCAGTTCTGGGCGCCGCACTTCAAGAGGGATGTGGCTAGCATTGAGAGGGTCCAGAGAAGGGCCACTTGCATGGTCAGGGGGAAGGCTGTATGAAGAGAGGCTAAAGGGCCTGAACCTATTCAGCCTCCACAAGAGAAGATGGAGAGGGGATCTGGTGGCCGTTACAAGCTCACCAGAGGGTCCCAGCGGGAATTGGGGGCGGCTCTGCTCCCCCGGGCACCACCTGGGGTTACTAGAAATAACGGCCACGAATTGTTAGAGAGAAGGTTCAGGCTGGACACCAGGAGACATTACTGTAGAGTACAGTACTGTACTATACAGTTTGGGCTGCCAGGCTCTGGAACGGCCTCCCAAGGGAGGTGGTACTCTCTCCTACCCTGGGGGTCTTCAAGAGGAGGCTGGACAGATATATGCCTGGAGTGATATGACCCCGGCGTCCGTTCCTGCCCCGGGCAGGGGGTCAGACCTGATGATCTGTTTAGGTCCCTTCCGGCCCTAAGCACTACGGTACTATGACACTACAAACCAAGGACGAAACGTCGGCACGGGATTTATGGCCCATGATAAGCTTCCTCAGCCCCACAATCGGTTTTTAAACCTGAACGCTTGCTAAGAAAAATTTTTCCAACTATTTAGTTGGTGTCATAAAAGAGATCCCATTTACCCGAAGACCCTTGTCCGCCCGGCTCCTGAATACTTCCCACTAAAGGAAGGGGGTGCTGACCCCCACTTCCCGCTTTGACAGGCCTTGATCTCCCCGGACCCTGCTTTCCTCCTGCCAACGGTGCCCTGGAGAACGAGAACTGGCCCCGGCCTCGGCCCCCCCGCGAGCCCGGGCAGCGCCCGCACCGCCTCCCCGGTGCAGCGCAGCGCAGCGCAGGCGGCAGCAGGCGAGCGCACCGCGGCGACAACCGGGGCCGG